AGAAAGAAATTGGAATACTTATCAAAAGATGGAAAGATCTCCCATGCTCCTGGATCAATAGGATTAACATAGTAAAAATGCTCATTCTACTGAAATCAATCTACAGATTCAATGCAATCCACATCAAAATTTCAACACAATCCTTTGCAAACCTTGATAGTACAGTTCTGAACACAAATGGGAAAAGAAACAAACAAACAAACAAAAAGGAGGATAGTTAAACAATCCTGTACAATAAAAGAACTGTTGGGGGTATCATCATCCCTGATTCAAGTTGTGCTACAGAGCTCTAGTAATTAAAAAAAACATGATATTGGAAGAAAAACAGACACACTGACCAATGGAATTCCATCAAAGACCCAGGCATAAATCCACACCCTTATGGATACATGATTCTTGATATAGAAGTCAGAAAAACACAATGGAAAAAAGAAAACAACTTCAACAAATGGTGCTGGCATAACTGGATGCTGTTGTGTAGAAGAATGTAAATAGACCCATACTTATTTCCCTGAACAAAACTCAAGTCCAAGTGGATCAAAGACCTCAACATAAAAATAGACACACAGCTGGGGGACTTGAACAGGCTATGGGGCTGCTGGCAGTGGAACCAGTATTTATCCCTAGTGCATGAATTGACTTTTTGGAGTCCTAAGGAGGGATACTCTCTCAGCCTAGATACAGTGTCCTGTCCCAAATGATGTGACAGTCTTTGATGATCCCCCATGGGAGGCCTCACTCTTCCTGAGGAGTGGATAGGAGGTGGGATGGAGGGATAGTGGGGGGAATGGGAGGATGGGAGGGAGAGGGAACTGGGATTGGTATGTAAAATAAGATTGTTTTTAATTCAAATAAGAAATTTATTAAAAAATAGATACACTGAACCTGATAGAAGAGAAAGTGAGGACAAGCCTTGTACTCATTGACACAGGAGACAGCTTCTGTAAGTAAGGCACAGGACACTGTCAACAAAATGGCAGCCTACAGAATGGGAAAAGAATTTACCAACTCCACATAAGACAGAGGAGTAATATCTGTAGTATATAAACCACTCAAGAAACTGATTATCAAAAATAAGTAATCCAATTAAAAATGGGGGTACAGATCTAAACACAGAATTCTCAATAAAAGAATATCTAATGGCTGAGAAACACTTAGAGAAATGTTTAATATCCTTATCTATCAGAGAAATTAAAATCAAAACTACTTTTACATTCTATCTTACACTTGTCAGAATGGCTAAGACAAATAATATAAGTGATAGCTCATGCTGGCAAGGATGTGGAGAAAGAGGAACACTCCTCTATTGCTGGTGAAAGTACAAACATGTGCAACCACTATGAACATCATTATGGTGGTTCCTCAGAAAATTAGGAGTTAATCTCCCTCAAGACCCAGCTATACCACTCTTGGGAATATACCTAAAGAATCCTCAATCATAAGGTGCCAGAACCACTTGAAAAGGCACAGGTTTATAACGTTACTGGGAGAAATAATTGCAGAAAATTTTCCAGACCAAGAGTAAGATACAAGTAAGAAATAGGAAATTCAAAGTTAACAGGTCAAGTTAAGGCCAAATCTCCTCTAGCACATCTTAAAATGAAGTGAAAGAGAAAGCATTTTAAGGCTGCAAGGCAATAAATGTGGGTATTTTGATGCTTCTGAGAGAGGATTCCTTAGAGGTATCCGAATAAGTAAATAAGCATTAGGAAAGAACCTGAATCCTTGCAACCACCCACATGAGTTTTCTGTGCCCCATCCTCCACCCCATTCTGTACCCAGAATCCCCACATCTTCCATAAGAATTTCATCGGGTTCCTCCTTCTTGTGCTCCAGGCTTGTTTGCTTCCTCTGCCCACAATGGAGGCACCTATCCTGTCTGCAACTGCCTATAGGGACCTTCTGCAGAGCATCTACCACTCCACTCCATATACACATTCCCCATGTCATCCTCTAGGATCTAGCAAGGTAAGCATCCCAGACCTCCTAATCCAAGTGGTTCCACAACCAGTACCCTGGCCTAGTTTGGCCACCCCAGTGTGAACAGCCAACACCTAGGCTTTACAGGGTCTCAAATCCTTTTTATCAGCCCAGTCTGAAGAGTCTAGCCTGTGCTACAGATGAGCTGTAAGTTTCAGCCAGTGCCCACCTTACCTGAATCCACGTACAAGTCCTTTCTGGGCAGCTTCCACCAACCACACTAGATAACCACACTTCTTAACCTGCTATACTCTACCAAGGGTCAAGCCTAGTGAGTTCCAGATTTAGCCCAAGTCCCACAATCAGGAAGTGGATGACCTCCCCATCTGCTCCTTTTCTGCAACCTGCTAGATCTAACCCTTGTCCTATATCCTTTGCCTGGTCTGGTATGACCAGCCCAAAGCTCTAGTCTTTGACCAGGATACACCCTCCCTGACACCATATAGTAGCACCATGCCACTAAGTACTGAGACTACCCATGTTCTTCCAGGTTCTAGCAAGGGACCCATATCCTGTGCCCTCACCTATACTGACCAATCTTGCCATAGTGGAGCAAATTAGCTCTAAGTTTCAGGTAGAACTTATGCTAACTGCAACCACCTACAGATCCCTCCCATGAAGCCCTCACCAACTCATTATGTACCTAAGTGTTCATTTGGGATCTTTCCTGGTGAGTACCTCTGACTTCCTAATCCAAACGCTTTTTCCAGTAAAGAGCTATGCAAGCATCCTAGACCTCCTAATCCAAGTGTTCTCTGAAACCCTCCAGATCTAGTCTGGGTCTCACGACCAGTGCTTTAGTCTAGTCTGGTCAGGATCATCTGCACAGAAGCCAACATTTATACTTCTGCAGTATCCCACACCTTTTTCCTAGTGGGACTACTAAGGCCTGTACTCCAAAAATACTCTGGGCATTAGGCAGGACTGCCCTACCTCCCACATCCCACCCAATGGTCCCTTCTGCACACCCTCTGCCACTGCACTTGGTACCCAGACTTTCCATGTCCTCCTGAACAGTTTAGCTTTGTCTTTACCTCTCCCCTCACTACCTAAGATTTTCAGCAAACCCAACAGATTTAGTCCAGGCCCCAATCCATTGCCATGGCAAAATGATTCCAGCTATGCTTGCTCAGCAGCCAAATTCTTGGCTTCCCCAGGGCCCCACATCTTTGCCTCTGCCTATTTTATCAATACCAAGTGTACTTCAGCAGAGCTCTAGGCTTCTAGCACGGTTCATTCTAACCTGCAGACATCCACACCTGGAGAAGCACAGATCCTGTCCCACCAGAAGAGGGAGTGATCCAAGATAACAACCATTGACATTACAACATGGCACTGGGAGGAAGATACAGAGGCAAGGCTTCAAGTGTTTACTAAGAATATCAATTGGCTGCCCAAACTCACACATGATGAGGTTATCATACTCCCAGATGGTGCCCAAGAGGGAATAGGACACTAGATAGATAACAGGAATACCTTTAAAATTACTGTTTAATACTATTGCCACCCTGCACTTTTCTGATTTAAGAGTGTTACTGTTATATAATAAACGAGATCTGGCTTGCCTTGATGCCCTGTTGCATCTGATTGTCTCTGGTGTACGGGGAGGATCCCGGATGGGCTTCCACTGCACTCTCCGACCTTGACCGAGGGGGTCCCAAAGACTCCAACACCCACAGGCAACATTCTAGTTAGCCTCTATCATAATGCAGGATAATGGGAATGGCCACATCATTGTCCAGGGTCTAACCTGATCCCTTCTATTTGGCATCATGTCCTCCTTAAAGGTCTAGCCTGGTGATTTCCCTTCACCTCTACATCCACCTATTTTCTACAACCTTCCAGTTCTAGTTCAGATCCCACAGAATCTGATCTCTAGGCTTCAAAAGGGTTCCACATCTTCTGTCCTGGCTTAGTCTGACTAACTCAGCTGTAACTACATCCAAGCTCTTGGCTCTAACCAGGACTTACCTACCTGAAATAACCCACTAGTACTTACCATGATACTTCCAACATGCTCCTGAATAACCAGGTTCCCCAACTCCTTGTGCAGAGTCCATCCTGACCACTATTATGTGGCCACCATCAACTGCATTGTTATCCAGACCCTGAATTTTCCTCCATTTCCTAGTCTGTACTCAACCGCCCATGTTCCAACCTAGTCTGACTCCAACACCCTACTGTGCTGCAGCAAAGCACTAGGCTTCTGGCAGGACTCACCCTACATGTAACTACCCAGTTTCCTCCCTTGGTTTTTCCATCATATCCCTCAGCATCTAGACTTACCTTGCCCTCTAACAGGTGTGATCTGATCCCTTCAGTATGACCCCAGCAGTATTTGGTGTTCAGACTACACAGCACTTCATTCGTAGTCTAACACTTGTTATCATCCAGTGACCAGGACAAGCCTAAATACCCTCACCTGGGATAGTTCCAAGCTCTAAGGACGCCCTCCTTGTGATCACCCACAGAACCCTTCTGGTATGCATCCATCAACTCACTCGAAATATACTTGTCTAGGGTCTACGATGGGTCCCATATCCCATGCTTCAACCTTGAGAATACCATACCCAAGGTCAAGGATTTCACCAACACCTGTCTTCCCTGTAAACCCCACAGGTAGCCTTCCTCCACTACCTCATTAGGTACCAATATTTCCCATGTCCTCCTGAAAAGCAAGGAAAATGAGTGCCCTTGGTGTTCCCACCAAACCTTTCTGTACCCCAATAGATGTAGCCTTTGTCCCAAGACATTCTCATAGTCCTACTATGTCCACAACAAATGGCAAAGGAGCCAAGGTCTAGGTTTCCACCAAACCAGTCTTAAGTTCCTTCCGTTTCCCTTAACCATGTCCCTCCTTACCTATTTGTGATTACTATTCTTAATTATCAACTAACTACATCTGATATTACCTAAAAATCCAAGTCACTGAGCAAACCTGTGGGGGATTTTAGTTAACTGGATCATTTGAGGTAGGAAGTCCCACCTTAAATCCAGATCATTTTATGTGGGAAGACTTACCTATGTTGTGGGGTAGAATTGGGCGTGGCTGCCTAGGTAAAAGACAAGGAAGAAAAAAATTATTGGTCTTTTCCTGCTTGCCCATGATCTTGATTCAGTGGCATTTGGGCCTACACAGGGATTTTTAGTTAACTGGATCATCTGAGGTAGGAAGTCCCACATTAAATTCAGATCACTTTAGGTGGGAAGACTTACCTATGGTGTAGGGTAGAATTGGGCGTGGCTTCCTAGGTAAAAGACAAGGAAGAAAGAAATTATTGCTCTTTTCCTGCTTGCCTTTGCTCTTGAGTCACTGGCATAGAGCCTACAAAAGGATTTTAGTTAACTGGATCATTTGAGGTAGGAAGTCCCATCTTAAATGCAGATCACTTTAGGTGGGAAGACTTACCTATGTTGTGGGGTAGAATTGGGCTTGTTTGCCTAGGTAAAAGACAAGGAAGAAAGAAATTATTACTCTTTTCCTGCTTGCCCTTGTTCTTGATTCACTGGGATTAGAGCCTACATCTTTGGGATTTAGATGCCTACTGAAGACCAGCTGAAACAATCAGACCTGTAGAATGAACACCTCCTGAATTCCTGGAACTTCAATTGTAGACAGCCGTTGTTGGACTAGTCGGATTACAGCCTGTAAGCTACTCTAATATATCCCACAAATACATGCAGGTTTCATTTTTTATGTCCTAACTTCAACATTCAAGGTTTATTCCTGCAACCATATCTAGTCTTGATGCCATAACCAGTGCCATTGACTAATGTGACTCTTACTGTCTGTGCAACAAATCATAAAACAACGGGATTGTGATTCGATGATATTATTCGTTTCTCATTCATTATCATTGGCACCTGCGGTCAGTCTCAGGGTTGTACCTGTTGAATTCATGTTAAATATTAGTATTCTCTTCAGCTGTCTTATGATGGTTTGAAGTCCTTTTGCGTCAGTGTGCATTGTCGTATTAATATTCGGATCATGTTGTAAACTTATTAAATCTTCAACTAGTCAAACTCATTACTCTTCATATAAGTATCTTATTATTTCTTATTTATTATAAACATCATTCAAAGTTTACAGTCATCAGTTTATCACATCTTCTTTAATATCAAGCGATGAGTGCAGAGTTCAAGCTTCAGATCAGGATTGAGCATTCGACTTCTCAACAGCAGTCCTTCACAGTGATTCTTATAACAATGTGGCGCCATTATCTTATAATATCTTCTGACATGATCTATTCTTTACAGTGAGAGGAGAGTATCTGTGTATTTGTATGTGTGCGCCATCGGATTGTTTTGCTTTTCACCTCTAATCAGAGCTGTGACAGCAGTCATCATCTTGTCAAATCTTATGGATTGACTTCTGATGTCTCAATTTCTGCAGAGCGCAGTTACCTGTACCACCATGGACGGTCTAAGGACAGCTCAATCAACATGGATGTGGATCTTGAAGACACAAACAAACCGGTGTGTGAAACAGGGAAATCAATTCAAGATAGGAAACTAGCTAATGGTGTCTCTAATCTGGATTCCCTCCTCACATAATAAACTCAAAATCGAGACACAGGGAGAAAAACAGAGAGAGGGAACAACCAAATTAGGAACAACAAAATAGAAAAAAGGAGAAAAATAGAGCAGTGATCGAAGAAATTCATAGGAGCCTAAGGACATATGTTGAAAATGTCTATGCCCCTAAACATGAGAATCTCAAATAAATGGATCAAAATAGGAATCAAATAGAGAAATGAGTCAGTGGTAGTGGTTTGAAAGAGAGTGTCCTTCCTAGGCTTCTGAATTTGAATGTTTGTTCCATAGTTGGTGGCCCATTTGGGAAGTTTTTGGAGATGAGGACTTGCTGGAGGAAGTATTTTACTGATGGCAGGGTTTTTTTTCAGTTTCTGCATTTTTTTATTCTTTTTTTTAAAATTTAGATAAGAAACAAGGTTGCTTCACAAGTCAGTTCCAGGTCCCTCTCCCTTTCCCTCCCCTCCTCCCGTGCACTCCCCCCATCCCCCCCCCGTTATCCCCTCGTTCCCCCAGGGAGGGTGAGGCCCTCCATGGGGGTGTCCATAGTCTGTCATTTCATATAGGGCAGGGCCTAGACCCTTCCCCAAGAGTTCAGGGTGAGAGTGCACCTCACAGTGTTCTATGGGAGTCCAAAGTCCGTGTGTATACTTGGGATGGGTACTGATCTGCTGCCCAAGGCTCAATAGATTACCTAGCCCTCCTCACTGACACCCAGATTCAGGGGGTCTTGATCAGTCCCATGCTGGATTCCCAGGCTGATGCCTGGGATTCAAGAGTTAACCTTTGTCTGGTCAGCTGTTTCTGGGGGTTAAACCAGCCCAGTCTTAATCCCTTTGATCATCAGTCCTCCCTCTCTGATACTGGCTTTCTTGAGTTCAGCTCAGTACTTAACCAGCCACTAAATGTAGTTTCTGTTTCCCAGACTGTCTGGCCATAGGATTGTAGGCTGGCACTCCCCAGATCTATGTCTAAAATCCATATATGAGAGAGTACATGCCATGTTTCTCTTTTTGTGACTGGGTTACCTCACTCAGGATGGTTTCTTCTAGTGTCATCCATTTGCCTGCGAATCTCATGATTCCATTATTTTTTCTGCTGAATAGTACTCCATTGTGTAGATGTACCACATTTTCTCTATCCACTCTTCAGGTGAGGGACATCTAGGTTGCTTCCAAGTTCTGGCTATTACAAATAAAGCTGCTATGAACATAGTGGAACAGACATCTTTGTTGTATGAATGGGCATCTTTTGGGTATATGCCTAAGAGTGGAGTTGCTGGGTCTTGTGGTAGGTTTATTCCCATTTTTCTGAGGAATCTCCATACTGCTTTCCAAAGTGGCTGAACCAGTTGGCACTCCCACCAGCAATGGAGGAGTGTCCCCCTTTCACCACATCCTCTCCAGCATAAATTGTCATTGGTGTTTTTGATTTTAGCCATTCTGACAGGAGTGAGATGGTATCTCAGACTTGTTTTGATTTGCATTTCCCGGATGGCTAAGGATGTTGAGCACTTTCTCAAGTGCCTCTCAGCCATTTTAGACTCCTCTATTGAAAACTCTCTATTTAGTTCTGCAGCCCACTTTTTAATTGGGTCCTTTGCTGTTTTGGAGACTTGCTTCTTGAGTTCTTTGTAAATTTTGGAGATCAACCCTCTGTCAGATGTGGGATTAGTGAATATTTTTTCCCATTCTGTGGGCTGCCTTTTTGTCTTGCTGACTGTGTCCTTTGCCTTACAGAAGCTTCTCAGTTTCAGTAAGTCCCATTTATTAATTGTTGATCTCACTGTCTGTGCTACTGGTGTTATGTTCAGGAAGCTGTCTCCTGTACCAATTCGTTCAAGGGTACCACCCACTTTCTCTTCTATGAGGTTCAGTGTGGCTGGATTTATGTTGAGGTCTTTGATCCATTTGGACTTATGTTTTGTGCATGGCGATAAACATGGATCAATCCGCATTCTTCTACATGCCAGTCTCCAATTATGCCAGCACCATTTGTTGAAGATGCTTTCTTTATTCCATTGTATATTTTTAGCTTCTTTGTCAAAGATCAGATGATCGTACGTGTGTGGGTTAATACCCGGATTTTCAATTCGATTCCATTGGTCTACTGTCTATTTTTGTGCCAATACCAAGCTGTTTTCAGGACTATAGCTCTATAATAGAGCTTGAGGTCAGGGATGGTGATGCCTCCGGACGTTGCCTTGTTGAACAGGGTTGTTTTGGCTATCCTGGGCCTTTTGTTTTTCCATACAAAATTGATTATTGTTCTTTCAAGGTCTGTGAAGAATTGTGCTGGGATTTTAATGGGGATAGCATTGAATCTGTAGATTGCTTTTGGGAGGATTGCCATTTTTACTACGTTGATCCTAACTATCCAAGAGCATGGGAGATCTTTCCATTTTCTGAGGGCTTCTTTAATTTCTTTCTTTAGAGATTCAAAGTTCTTATGATACAGGTCTTTCACTTGTTTGGTTAGCGTTACCCCAAGGTATTTTATGTTGTTTGTGGCAATTGTTTTTTTTTAACAAAACATTATTTTTAAATTTTAAATAGCTTGTTTTACATGTCAATCCTAGTTCCCTCTCCTTCCCCTCCTCCCGCACTCCCCTTCCACCCTCCCTCCCACCCTATTGCCAAATCCTTCCACATAGGGGATGTCTAGAGTCTATCATTTTACTCTTGGTAGGGTCAAGGCACTCCCCTAAGAGTCCAGGCTGAGAGAGCATCTCTCTTTGTGCTATAGGCACATGAAGACACATTGTATACCAGGAATAGACACTGATCCACAGCTCAGAGCCCCATAGGTTGTCCAGGCCTTCTCACTGACACTCACATTTGGGGGTCCAGATCAGTCCCATTCTGGCCTCCCCACTGTCGGTCTGGGGTCCAAGAGCACTCCCCTGTTCAGATCAGCTGTCTCTGCTGGTTTTGCCAGCCCATTCTTTGCCAATTTGCTCATCATTCCTCTCTCACTGTCACTGGGTTCCTTGGGTTCAGTTCAGTGCTTAGTTGTGTGTTTGCCTCTGCTTCCATCAGTCCCAGGATGAAGGCTCCCGGATAGTTATAGACATCAAGTTCATTATCAGGAATGGGCATTCGAGGTGGTCCTTCCACTATTGCTTAGCTTGCCAATTGATGTTATACCTTTAGATCACTCGAGGTCACTCTGGTGCCTGATCTGTCTTCGATCCTATGATTCCCTCTTACCCCTATTCTACCCCCACCCCCTCAACTTCCTGTTCCCCCATGACCAACTCCCTTCCTCTTTACCCCCTCTATGTTTGTGGCAATTGTAAAGGGTGATATTTCTCTGATTTCTCTTTCAGCCCTTTTATCATCTGTATATAATAGGGCTACTGACTTTCTTGAGTTGATCTTATAGCCTGCCACTTTGCTGAAGGTGTTAATCAGCTGTAAGAGTTCCCTGGTAGAGTTCTTTGGGTCATTGATGTAAACTATCATATCGTCTGCAAACAGTGAAAGTTTGACCTCTTCCTTCCCAATTTGTATCCCCTTGATCCCCCTTTGTTGTCGTATGGCAATAGCTAGAACTTCAAGTACCATGTTGAAAAGGTATGGAGAGAGTGGACAGCCTTGTTTTGTTCCTGATTTTAGAGGAATTGCGTTGAGTTTCTGTCCATTTAGTTTGATGTTGGCTGTTGGTTTACTGTATATGGCTTTTATTATGTTTAAGTATGTCCCTGTTATCCCAGATCTCTCCAAGACCTTTATCATGAAGGGGTGTTGGATTTTGTCAAAGGCTTTTTCAGCATCTAGTGAGATGATCATGTGATTTTTGTTTTTCAGCTTGTTTATATGGTGGATTACGTTGATGGATTTTCGTATGTTGAACCATCCCTGCATCCCTGGGATGAAACCTACTTGATCGTGGTGAATGATTGTTTTGATGTGTTCTTGGATCCGATTTGCCAGTATTTTATTGAGTATTTTTGCATCAATGTTCATGAGGGATATTGGTCTGAAGTTCTCTTTCTTGGTTGTATCTTTGTGTGGCTTGGGGATCAAGGTTATTGAAGCCTCATAGAAAGAGTTTGGCAAAGACCCTTCTGCTTCTATTGTGTGGAACACTTTGAGAAGAATTGGTATAAGCTGTTCTTTGAATTTGTGGTAGAATTCTGCACTGAGGCCATCTGGACCTGGGCTTTTTTTGGTTGGGAGACTTTTGATGACAGCTTCTATTTCCATAGGGGTTATAGGTCTATTTAAATT